TATATCTCTTTTACAAAAACTCCAAATTCTATAATTTTTTTACCAAAACCATATCTAAAATCCTCAATTTGACAATTCTAAGCTCTAATATTTGAATGTCTTTGAAAGAATAATCCTAACAAGGCCTTAGAAAGCCTCTTTAAAGTCCATTGGGCATGACTTTTGGCCAATAGGAATAGAAATTTTTATCATTCATTTCCATTCATCTATATGGATGGCCTATCTATCTTTTTTGATATATATATATATATATATATATATATATAAATAAATTTTACATAATATGTGAGTTAAATATCAAATAAAAGAAATAAAATAAGATTTTAAGAGCCACCAATATTTAACAAAGGTGGCTTTAAATATATAAAAACTGTCATCAACATAAAATCAACCTTAATGTTAGTATTTTAAGACTAATTATTTTAAAGTAATAATTTAATAATCTTTTTTAATTAACTAAAATATAATAATATAGCTCTCATTATACTATATAATAAATTATAAATCAATTACATATATATATATATATACATATATAAATTATTTTTACATGGTAGCTAAATCGCAACATGACAATGTGATATAAGATTGGTACAAAAATAAATGCTATCTTTAAGGCTTAAAAAGATACTTCAATATCTTTGCTCCACTTAAGTTTGTCTTTATATGTCAAAAATGTAAGTGGAGCTACAACTTGAAAAAAATTTTGATGAAGATTCATTAATAATTAGTAAATCTTAAAAGATTTCATACATATTTTATTGCTTTTTATATCTTTTAATCTATAAAAATCTATATCTTTTTAAGATCTATTATAAGCCCATCATTTGAAATAATGTATTCTAAAAAATTAATTTAAATAATATATAATATATACTTTTCTATCTTGGCATATAATCTTGCATCTCTTAATTATTCTAATACACAAAAAATATGAATTTTATATTCTTTTATATTTTTAAATTAAATTAAGATGTTTAAATAATAGATGATAAAATCATCAAAAAACTTAGAAAAGACATCATTCATTAGATATTGGACAGTAGCTGATGCATTCATTAGTTCAAAAGGCATGACATTATATTCAATATATTCGTACCTAATTCAAAATATAGTTTCTCATTCATCTCTTTTTTTAATACATACCAATTTTTTTGCTCTTTACAGATATATTTTTATATAAATCTTTGCTTAATTTAATTGATCAAAAAGTCTTGAAATAAAAAATAGAAGATACATATTTTTGATGGTGATCTTCTTGAATCCTTGGTAGTCTACACACATCTATAGAGATCTATCTTTTTTCTTCTTAAATAAGATTAGAGCTTTGGTTGAAAATAAAAAATGATATATGAAATTTTTAGCCAATTTTTTATCAATGTATTCCTTGAATGCAGCCAATTTATTTTTTAATAGGCTATAAAGTAATTGAACTCCTTTTTAAAGATTGATAGAACAATCATTGAGGTAATGCTCTAAAAAAATATCTATATTCTTCTTTTCAAAAATATCTTAATAATCTTGATATTGATATAGAATGCCACTTGAAATCTTTTTTCTATCAATAATAAATGTGGTATATATAACAAATGTTGATCCTTCTTTTATATCATGCATGAAAGCTATTGTACCTACTATTAATAATTTAGATGTATTGATCTTATTGGTTTTTATTTTCCTAGTAAAATCTTAATTTAAACTACAAAAAAAAATAAGGTTACAAAAAATTTAGTCTATTTGAGGGTTATATTTTTTTAGCCACAATAATTTTAAAATAATTGGATCAAAAGAAGATCTAATCACATTATATATTATTAAATTACTATGACTATTAGTTGTTACATTTGATGGAACAATTTTATGTGTAACATCTCTTGAAGACAATGAATGACTATCTATTACTTGTACATGTATAGATTTGGATTTTTTAATTAAAGATATTTTTTTTTTGACAAAGTTTTTATTTATAAAATAGGTTGAGGTTCTTGAATCTAACAAGACTAAGACTATGATTTTTTGATCATAAACAAACTTATACTATAAAATAAGGTGAGGGATTTGAAGAAAAAATAAGACCTTTATTAGGTATTATATAAGATTTCAATTGCACAGTCCTTATCATACCTAAAAAAACTTGTTTTCTAACACATTGTCTTCTTTGGCAACTATACTCTTTATTTTATGATTGTATTGCTTCTTTAAAAAATGTTGAGTAGTGTGCTTGGATTCTCCATAATATAGGCACCAATATTCTTAATAATGATGAATCTTTTCTTACTTTGTAAGAGGTTTAAAATATACTATGTCAATTTGTATAGGCTCTAATTTGAAGAAGTAAGCTACCAAAAACTTAGAAACTATTGTTATGGCTTTACTTGTATCATTTTAACTAATTTTTTTTTTTTTTTTTTTTATATATATATATATATATATCTTTCAAAGAGTCAATTGTTACATGCAATGGCTTAAGCAATATATTACTCTAATAAATTTTCTCTAGATATTATCAAAAATAAATCTTTGACATTATCTTTCAAGTTATATCAATTAATTGATAAGGGCTTTATCATTCCAATCCATGTTGCAAACAAGATTTTGAAATTTAACAACATATGTGGTGGTTGAATGTGATCTTTATTGTAGAGATGTGAGCTTAATTTTTGCTATTCTTTTTTGATCATTTTTTCCAAATATAACCATAAATAATTTCAAAAATGAATTCAAATTATAGAGTAGTTGTGAATCTTTTTCCATCAAAGGTGCAAAGTAAAAAAAAAAAACTTGTAAAAAGAAATATTCTTATAAATCCAACTCAAGTAAATTCATTAATATATTAAAAAGAATGCAACCTTGAATAGATCTTTACTTGTTGTAAAAACCTTCAAAATTTTGATCTTATTCCATTAAACTTCTCCAACCTACTTATCCTCTATATTTGTAGTGACAAGAATCCTGAGAATTAGTTATAAACTTGAGCTATTTACTTCTCTTAATTGCTTAACTTTTTAGCATAGATTTAAGCTTCATTATTGATTGCTTCTATGAATATAGGAATATTACTTCTATGATTTATGTTAGAAATACATGAAATTTCTATCTTAAGAGTATTAATAAGCTCATAAAGATCTGCAATAGTTGCAAATCTATTATCACTTCTACTAAAAGTAGCATCTATAATTTTTTTTTTCTACAAATAATTCAAAAAAATTCAATAAGTTAAATTAGAAGAGAGTAATTTACAACCTCTAATATCAAATGAAAATTTCTACAAGATAATCTATTTTTTTTTTTAGAAAAAAAAAATAATATCAAAAAATAAAATTATTTATTTCAAGGTATGTAGTCTACAACCTTCAAAATACAATAATAGAAGTGAGATAATCCATTCACTTCTAGATCAAGACAAGAAGAATAAGTTAGCACACTTGTCAAACTATCAAGGATATGAATCTCAAATAAAAAAAAATCATTACACTCTTGTGTCATTTGAAAAGATTAGAAAGTCATTCAAAGATGATATTATATTGAATTTCAATGGCTATTGTTAAAGACAAGAAGACTTAAAACAAAGCTAAGGACTAGAAAAGTATTGTCAAGAATAAAGAAGGCTTTACTCTTACCTCCATATATACTAGCTAACTAGGAGTTTCATGACAATGTTTTATAGAACCTCTAAGATGTGTTGACTTTGTGAAACATATATCTTAACTTGCAAGGCAAGTTTTTCATATGTGCACTACATAGTTAGTTTTTTCCACAAGCTACTAACACGTGTGACACATGACTAACTTGTTAACCAAATTTTTAACCTATCAATACTTATATGAATATAAGGAACTAAAAGGTTTGTTTTTTTGATCACATGGTTCTAATAATACCATGGCATGGTTTTCACAACTTGAAGTTGATTTGAAGATGATATAATTTTTGTAAATGTATCATTGCATCATCTTTTTATTGATACAATTTGAATACTACTTGTTACATGTATATTTGGATTAATCATGAAGTAATGGAGATTGTTATAATTAAAAAAAGATAAATAGAAGAATATTTCTAATATTGAATAATTTATTGTTGATTGTGAATTATCTTTTGAATAACGCCTACTATGCTAGACGTGTATTAATTAACTAATATTAGATGGAACTATTTTATTTTTGTACAAAGAACTTTGTTCAATCAATTTAATTTACTATTATTCTTAAAACATGATAGTTTTTAGTAATTTTATTTATCATAATTCGATTATAATGAATTTTTATGTCATCTATTTCTACAATTATTTTGTTGAGAAGAATAATAAAAGAATTAAAATTATTATTATAATTAGATGTTTTTTTTAAAATAAAAAATATGTAAATAAATTATTATATATAAATACTACAAAACATCATAAAAATAATGCAAAAGTAGATAAATTAAAATAAAAAAATAAAAGAAACCATACTTCCATCTATTTATACTATTTATTTAAAAATGATATATTATAAAAAAATTATAAAATCAAATATTAGAAAAAATAAAATTAGAAAAAAATTAGCTTCAACATTCATAAGTATTAAAAATATTATTTTAAAAAGATATTATTATTATTATTATTAACTCCCTAAATACCCTTACTTTACAATGGGAACAAAGTAAATTAAAAGCTAAGCATTCCTTACCATGCAACCATAGTTGTGGAACTCAAACCCACCCCCTCCATTAATAATCACAGCCAATAATGTTATAACCACTTGGCCAAACCATCACATAGAAATATTCACACTATGCAATTGAATTTAGCAGTGTACTTTCTTGTTAAAAACATTTACATGCTTGCCAAGAAAAAACTGGAGAAGAACGGTTTTGCAAACACACACTACAATTAGTGTTTGATCTCTACTGGTTTTAAATTCATCTGTTTCATGTTATTTTAAAAAAATCACAGTTGAACTTCATTTGAAGTGGTTCAAAATTGTCAAAACGTGTTATACAGTTTAATCCATATCAGTGTATGCATTAAAATTATTTAATGATAGCTATTACAGTAAATCATATGTATAATTTTTATTTATTTACTTATTCATTTTCCCAATTTTATGGCACTTCAAAGTTAGCATACATATGATTCACCTAAATTCCCATTCTCGAATTATTTGTTATTCTAGATTGAATTGCAAATTAGTCTCTCCAAGGTGAATAGGCCTACCTTAATGTTCTCCATGCTTAGCGTGAGAAATATATACTTGAGGATTACAACCCAAAGCTTTCCTGTCGTGGAAAATGACAGAAGACTGCTCGAAGCAATTTCTATAAACATTCAGTTTTATGTTACTACTGTTGAGCAGATGCGTAGGTTGAGAAGAATTCCTACAGTTTTGATGCAGGGCTGGAAGAACTCCCTCCAGGTAATATCATCACTTTTCCCTTTACTTCACGTTGCTTCAACAATGCAAAGGCTTTGTTGGCCTGCAAAACAAGATACACACCATCTTTTTCAGTAGGAGTTACAGATAAACAAGATCAAGTGATTCAGAAAGCACTGTTGTAAGAAAGTATAATGGCAGCAATGGAGAAATTTTAACCAGCCAGGTTGCATGTGGTGTATTCTTGAGTCAAGAATCATGCTAACAGGGGCGGGGGGACAAAAAAAAATGGTGCGTTGGAATTCCACTGCTAATGAAGGAAAAGTAGATAAAAAATCTGAAATCAGAGGGCGGAATATTCCACAGAAAGCTTCACCTCATCGATCGAGAACGTGTGAGAAATGTGGACGCGCAGACTGCCGTTTGTCAAATACCCAAGCAAGGCTTCCATAGAGTCTTGCATAACTTGTGGGTTGAATCGAGTGTAGCTTCCCCAGTACAAGCCATGAACAGTCAAGTTCTGCAAGAAAATCGCTTGTATTAGGCAATAGAGGTGCCAGTAGAATAGAACAAGGGAACCTTAAAGAATAAGGCACGAAAAAAAAAAGGGGGGGGGGGAGAAGAAGAAGAAGTAGAAGAAGAAGAAGAAGAAGAAGAAGAAGAAGAGAGAGAGAGAGAGAAAAGAAGAGAGCTTCCAATTTCAGTCGTAGGCATACAACACCGTTGCGAAGAAACTGCGTTAGATGATATTACAAAAGGCTTTCGAACCGCCATGGCATTCATCCAGTATCAGGGAACATACCTTAACGAGTAAAATGTTAGCAGGAATGCTGGGGATTTCACCACTCGTAAACCCGATGATGACAATGTGAGCTCCCCAGCTCAAAAGCTTCATGCTGTCTTTGAAGAGCTTCCCACCAACCGGATCATAAAGAACATCTACGCCTCTGAGCTTTCGGGACTTCAGGAATGCTTTTACGGTGTTGATGAGCCCACCATCTTTGGGATCCACAACAAGATCAACTCCATATGCTTTTAGCAGCTCTGCTTTATCGTGGCCCCTGTTTCAATCCAGGCAGTATTAGGTTATAGCTATCAAGAGCAACCCTTGGAGAGGCTTCATAAACATATATGCTGACTCCAAAGATCATTTGATTAGCAACAAATGATCAACTTCAATCAAACAATTTAAATACAAGGCAGTTGTAACTTATATACTAACAAGACTATAATACTTAATCAGGATGGAGAGTAGATGACATGCTTTGATGGATTCCAAGGCCTGAGTATACCTAGCAACACCAATTACAACCGCACCCAAAAGTTTGCCAATCTGCACAGCGGATAATCCCACTCCCCCTGCTGCGCCCAGCACCAAAAGCACCTGCATAAAAAAAAAAAACTTTACAATCTGAAAAAAACTGTCCAAGTTCTTTAAATTTGATAGTTCTTTGTTAGGTCCTTTCTGATTTATACTTTTACCAGCAGAGTCTTTCAGAACGTGGAATCCCACTCAGCATCATAAAGCATTAGTATTCAACTTGCTGGGTCTGGCAACTAAACATTCTTTAATTTGCACAAACAAACACCCCTAGCTTCACTCTTAAACTTTAAGTGTAAACACTCAAGCAGCATGCGTGACGTTGAGGAAGTGAAAAAAGAAAAAGAAAAAAGGGTAGTGTAAGCAACCTGGCCTGCTTGAAGATTCGCACGATGCACCAATCCTACATGGGATGTACCAAACGCAATCGGAAGCCCACCAGCCTGCAGGAGGTCGCATCCATTGGGCACCTTAAACCTACACAAGAAGCCAACCCTCATCCTTAAGTCCTAGTAAAGGAAAAAAGACAAGAAAGACAACCAAGCAAGTCAATATTCACATGTAAAACGTACGGAAAGCACTGTGAAAAACAGAGCTTCTGCTAAAGGTCTTAACACATGGTTTAGAATTACTGTACGTAATCAAGAATACTTGCATTACAAGAGCAAATTAATTTTTTTTTAATAAAATAAAAAGAAAATCAAAAAGAAAATCAAAACGCCTGGTTATCCAGTGTTCCTAAACGATGCCAACGACCTAACGCGTTGCAGCTATCAGTGCCTGACATAAACTGAAACATTTACAAACTCCAAACCATAATTGGACTAAATGTTTCCTTGAAGATTAAACCAAAGACATTGAATTGAACTTACACCAAGGATGCATCAATGACGATCTCCGCAGCATAAGCCCCACCCGTTGCAGCCCCACAAACAGCATCTCCTACTTTCACTTTAGTCACACGATCACCCACTTCCAGAACTGTCCCGGAGAAATCTTCTCCAGGGACGTAGGGCAAAGGAGGCTTCTCCTGGTATTTTCCCTCGATTTGCAAACCGGTTGCGAAATTCAGACTGGATGCGAAGACCTTCACACGCACAGAAGTAGGAGAAGACAGCTTCGGCTTGGGGAAGTTCTCCTCTACGTAGATGGGGGATGTGTCGGAAAACGGTAGAGTGGGATCACCCAGCTTGCGGCAAACTAAAGCTCTCATGGTGCTTGCAGCCATGAGCACACCGCCACTTCAAAATTCTGCTAATTTCCACAATCCAGCAGTCTATCAAAAAGAGGAAACGCACCACATAGCTCTACGCAACTTGAAGGACTTGCCACCACTCAACAGCTTACTCATCAAACGAACAGACGAAGACCAACAAGAGGTAAGACGAACTCCCGTATGTACAAGACCTAAACTAAACCCACTACTCACCACAAAATACTCAGCTGAACCTACTGCGAAAGAAAAAAAAGAAAAACATAACATAACATAACATAACAAAAGTCACACTTATCATCTCTCTCTACCAAACTGCTCAACTAGCGAAACCCTTTCCTGGTTACTACTAAACCATCGTAAGTAACTTAACACGGCAACGAACAGGGCCACCCAAAGCAATCGAATCACAGATTTCATGCTCCCATTGCTCACAGAGGTGCATGCTTTCCCGAAACAAAACCTCAAAAAATGCAGAACAGTGTGGAATTGGAAGTGGGTTCCCAGCTGACGATCCAAGCAGTGAGTGTGTGAGTAAGTGAGTGTGCGTGAGAGAGAGAGAGAGAGAGAGAGGCGCAGCAAGGCTGGCTGGCTGAAGCTGAGAGAGGAATCACTCACCCACCCCACGGAGTTCACAATGCAAGGAAACTAACACTCTTCCTCTCTTCTCTTTTCTTTCTTCCTTCGTTGGACCCGAAGTGTGAAGGGATGCGATGTGCAGCCCCTCCTTGTGGCCCATCCAGCTCATCCCGATCATCCCACCCCGCATGGGTCGGTCAGTGGGTATGCGCACGTGGACACGGGTATGGGTCACCGCCATGGAGAGAATGAACGGGGGATAAGTTCCTTAGAGCAATGATCCCTACTTTGTCGCTGCGGGGTGAAGTATTATTTTATTTATTTATTTATTTATTTGTATAAATGCTTTCAAATTTATGGTTTAATACTTTTTAAAATCGGTGTATCTTTTTTTTTAAAAAAAACCCGTTGCATTTGGTTTTATTTTATCAAAAGTTGGTAATTATTACTAGCTAAGGCAAAGAAAGAAATGAACAATGTGAAATATAAGTATTTATTGTCCAATCACAGATTTCATGCTCCCAAAATATTCAAGAAATTTTCCTACTGGTTTGATTTAAGTTATCTTTTATCTGTAACTTTCTTAATATAATTCAGAATTATTTCAATTAAGTTTGCAATGGATTGTTTTGCAAAACATCAATTAAAGAATATGAAGTCTTTAATAGAATTCGTTCCTTAAAAGAAACAATAAAAAAAAAATACCATTATTTTTATTACTAATTAGAATCTAAAATAAAAAATCAACATATTTAAAAGAATTTATAATTATAGAAATTCCTCTCATTCCTTGAAAGTGTTTTAACTTCTTTAATTTTCTATTTTTTAATTTTAATTTTATAAAATAATTAAATTAAAAATATAAATTAATCTACCAAATTTATGTAATAGTGAAATCATGTACAATATCATTAAAAGCTTTGCATAAGAATTTAATTAATTTAATTTATTACCATACTTTTATTAGAAAAATTATTTTTTATTCTTATTTAATACCATAATACAAAAAATTATTTTTTAATGTACTATATTATAGTTTATAAATCCTTTTTTTCTCTTTTTTTAGTTATAGAATTAATTAGAATATGATAAGATTTACTTAAAATCACTACTTGAAATTGGGTATGAATTTTAGTGAGAGTTTTTGGTGGCCTATAAATGATATGAGGTTTTTTACCACCCCAATGAACTTTGGCATTAATTGCCATCAACCAAAGTTGTCCTTATAGCAAGGAATAAAAATTTCTACTATGATGCATGTAAATAACATGAAAGGTGAGAAAGTACTCCTTGCCACTTGTTATTATTTTATATCCACTAGTTTGCTTCAAAGATGTGCCTTGGTTTTAGATAGCCATGTTAAACAAATATGGAGAAGGTCTACTGACACGTACTATTGATTTTTTTGTACTTCTTACAGATATGATAATTAAGCCATTATTTCCATCTATTATTATATAAAATAAAACTTTATCTAATATAGAGATTTCAATTTCAATTACCTTGTAATTTTATGATTCTTAAATAATTTTCACATAGATTGCTGATTTAATTATAGACCTTAGATATTTCTTGATAGAAATTCATGACTTTTAATCTTTTCTTATAGTTGGAGAAATTTTCAAATATGATCCAACGTACATTTTTAAAACAATTCTAGCTTGAAGTAGAACAGAGCACAAGCCTCATTGCTTTATTCTTCCTTAGACAAGAGAAGGATGAAGAGATTACATTGTATATTTAATGTTTTAAATTAGTGGTGATGAAGTTTGTAGGAACTTTTCTCACCGACAACACCTTGAAGCATTTTTTCATTCAAGAATTTGTTAAAGAAGAAAGAATTAAAAAAATCCTCCATATATATTGTCAGCAAAATCAATCCACCTTAATTGCATTTGGTAGTCCGATGGAGTAACTTCACTTACATAAGGTTAGATGTCTTCTATTTTTAAACGATTGTTTATCTATGGTTTTGTTTTTATCAAATTTTTATGTATTTACTTATTAATTTAATTTATTTTTTATAAAAAAATATTTTTATTTTTAATTAATTATTTTGTTTTATTATTTATTTATTTATTTTTAATTTTTAATTTAATATTTTATTTATTTTATTATTTATTATATATTTTTTTATTTATTTAAAGTCTCTAGCATTCAGCTCATAAAAATTTTTATATGCATCACATTCTTCAATAAAGAACGACCATACTAAAACATTAATCACAATATAATAATCACTTATTATTATACCAAAAAATATATATAAGAACTCTTTTGAATTTACTGCCTAACAATCATTAGAAATCAACTATCTCCTTACAAAAATATGACAAATCATGGTTGATCTACTATGGTCATCAACTCCTAAGCCATGTCTTGCCTTTGTCGCTATGAGATCATCTCCACGTCTTTGCAACACCACCACTCTAATCTCTTCCAATAGGAATACCTTTACTTCACTACCTCCTCTAAAAGAGTTGTACAACTTAAATCCGTCAACACTAATCCACTATACCACTATCATCACTTTTCTTTCAATCAGCTTGAGTTTCTCTAGAATTTGCACCCCCTCCTTCTCCTGATCTACAATCTATTGTATTGATCTAAATGTACTCCTATGTGCTACGACGAACAACCTCTTTTTCTCAAACCCTCACTTTCTTCTTCTTAGATTCTTCTATTCACCTTATAAAGTAGATCACAATTCAATCTTCCATGCAATCCTAGCACAAATTGCTATCCTATCCAGAAATCTCCACTTATCCCTGAGTATAAACATATCCCCGACTAGATCATCTCCTGCTTGACTTCCTTCTTTACTGCATACCACCCCTTTGCACCGCCTTGCCTTGCTTCACTACCTTCATTAATTTTGCCACATTCAAATTTTGATGTTTTTGACCTCATCCACCTAATACAGTTGACATAACCTGCCTAATTTGGAACCATTTAGATCAAAACCTGAGCAATCCAAACGGGTCTAGTAAAATAGGTTGCCAGTCTATGGATTTTTTTTTTTTTTTTTTTTTTTTTTTTTTAAAGTCTCCAACACATTCTTATGAGAGAATCTTAGGTGCCCTTTTAGAGTCTTTTCTACTCTATTCTTACTTAGAAATAATATGCCCAAAAAATTAACATTTTTAATATAATATTTTAGTTCTAAAGGTCCAAATAACGCATTTTCTACCATTTATTCCTTTCTTCACCGCTTTATCAATATGACACCATTGTCCCTCCTTAATCTAATATTAAACCAAAATTGTTTCACCCACCATTATAATTATACTCTTCTTTTAATACCTAAATAAACCTTATCTTTGATAATTTATCCTACTAAATTATATCCAAACTTTTCTCTTCCTAACTCCATTGATTTATTCTAATTTTTTTTTTTAACTATACTATGAATCAAAAAAATTGGCTCACATTATTGGCAACCATTGGGTGCAAACCTAAGAATCTTTTACTTTGTAACTTCTACTTCATAAAAATATTATAAGATTTAAATGATTAGAATTATTTGTCACAAGTATAGTAGGAAGGCAACCATTGTAGATGCAAGCTCCTTGATTACATCCTATATTCCTTGTATCCACTCCTTAAAGTGCAAGTCAGAAATAGGTCTTATTTAGGTGCTTTAAAATTTAAAATAAAAATTAGAATTATATATCATATTAATCTAAGTACTAATTTGTAAGTTTGTTTAAAGTGTTGATTTATAAAAAAAATGTAGAGTGACAAATATTCTTAAATTCTTTGTAAGAAGAATTTTAGATATAAGATATGTAATGCTATTATTATATTTAATAAAAATAATAATGCAAAAGATGTCAAGAAAAAACTTCTTAAATATTACAAAGAAAGTATAAGTTATAAGTTTATGTACTTAAAACCAAAAAGATTCACAAAATTAATGTTTTAAGTTTTTAAACCATAAGAATCATCAGAATTTTAGAAGATACAAATAAGTAGAATGTAAGTTCTGTTTTAGATTGTTTTCAAAACTTACATAAAATAATGGTTGAATATTTAAATTAATAAAATTAAAATCATATTTTTAAAGAAAATTAAGCATTTCAATTTTTGAAGATTATCAAAGACATGATGAAATTGAAGCAATTTACAAAAGATATGCAATTAGAAGACTAGATTTGTAATTGGAAACAATATCTCATAGAAAATTGGTAAATATTTAAAAAATATTAGAAAAATTATACATTTTTTAAGATGTATAATAAACATGATATTTATTCATTTACTTATTATCTTATTAATGAATTATAAATACATAAATATAAAAAGAAGAAAACAAATATACTTTAGAAGATGAATAATTATTTTAAAGAATAAATAGACATAATTTAAAATAAGATATTAAGTTAGATTAGTTTTTATAAGTATTTAAAAGTAAAAAAATAAAGATATGATTAATTATTATATTTATTTATTACCAAATTCACCTCTTTTAGAAACGTTGTGATATTTGGAAGAGCAATAGTCTTGAGAATGCATTAAATGAATTTTTAAAACAATATTCTTGAATAATTTTTTTTAAAAAAATAATAGAAATATTTTATGTGAATAAATCTAATAAATAATTGTATGAAACTAATTAATAAGATTTATAAAATTTTAAATATATATTTTGTGATCTTAAAAAATTACAAAAGATATAGTATTAATAAATCAACACCTTTTTTGTGAACGAAAGTATCATTATAATTAATACAGATTTTTTTATATGTGACATGACTATCAAGTATATTTTTTGGAAGTAGTGTTTTTTGTTAGTTGTTTTATATAGTGAAAAAAAATGAACTTTAAACTTTAAAAAAAATTAAATTATTTATTTTAGAAGTTGTGCTATTATCTTAAAAATGAATATATAAGAGATTATGTCAACACATTGCAATGAATCTAGCAAAAATGTATTAAAGATATATTAAAATATCTGCCATAAAAATATATATATATATATATATATATATATATATATTTTAAATAATTAACTAGTAGAAGCCAAATATAAAATAAATTATATTTTTTAAAAAGCAACAACATGATCACTTGTACATGCAATGATTGGCATATTATTTGAGTTTTAATGTGCAATGAGTGTTATAAGTTAATGGGTATTAAAAGTGGTCATATGTATTAAATAAATAAAATATGAAATATAAATAGATATATAAATCTTAAAATGTGCTTTGATTGTAATATTTTAAATTTTTTGTTTTTATTTTTATGTAGTTACTAAGATAGAAGTTAATTTATGAAATTACCAGACATATCAAAAAAATTCTAAGTTTAACAATCCAAAGATAACACATGGTAACAAATTAATGTATAGTAAAATATATTTAGCTATACTAGATATTAAAAGGCATTCTCCTTGTACAAACCAAAAAAAAGAAAAAAAGAAAAAAAAAGAAAAATGTTAATAGCTAACAATTTATTTTATTTGCTAAGAATCTAAAAGATGTTTTTACATATCAAATACAGATTTTTGCTATATTACTTTGTTTTAAAGAAAATTAATGATGCAATTATAAAAATAAGATATCACAAAAAAATATCCATTTAAGAAAAAAAATTATAAACTAACAAATATATTATAGCTAATTATGTTGATTATTATAAAAAATAAGAGAATTGACAATAATTATAATAACTATTATAGTAATTATAATAATTAAAATAAAATCATTTATATTATAATTTAATTTAGATATAAACCATGATACAAGAAAAACTAAGGTAAAGAAATAATAATAATATATTTTTTAAATACTAATTTAATAGTAAGAATAAGTAATAGTTAGGATTTAAAACAAAGAACTACTAAGTGGACACTCTCTTTTACTACATAGAAGATCTTCTTTTATTACTTGAATACCCTCTTATGCCACATACATTTACATACACACACTCAAACTCTTGTTTATATTAAAAAGTTTTACAATACATTTATAGTAAAAGATTTGTATGCAATGTCTCATTGTATTTTTTAATTTTTTAATTTATATTTATCAAAACTTCATAACACATTATATATTAATTTTACACATTATTTATTTCAAAGAGTATAATTAATTTTATTAAAAAAACCTTTTACTATGAATTTATTCTTAAATGTTTTAGTGTACATAAGAGTTTTACCAAATGTATGCATGGGTGTGGCATGGAGAGGGGGAGGGATGTCCATGTAATAAAAGACAGGGTATCTACTTAGCATTTTCCTTAATTAATAATAAAATATAATTTTGTATTTTTTTGAGGGCCTAAATTTAAATAAAAACTAAAATAAGTAGTAGCTAAGATTTTAAAATTTTCTTTAAGACTATCTTATATGAAGATGAATCCCATTAGAACCAAAAAACATTATAAAAGTTTAGAAAGATTTATTTGATTTTTTTTGTCTTTGTATTCAATACTATAGAATTTTGGGTATATAAAAACTATATATATATATATATATATATATATATATATTTATGTTTCAGTTCTTTAATTTTTTAAATTCACAAGTAAGCTATTAAACCAAAGTTAAAAGATCACTATATGTATACAAAAAAATAAACTATAAATTTAGTTTTTAGTTTTTTTAGTTTCTATTCATTTATTTTTATATGCTTACAACTAAATTATAAAAAACTATAACAATATATCCATAAATGAGGTAATTCACATTGGAGTGTTTTATCATATAAACTAATAAAGTGTGTATAACTGTAGCCAAAATTAGATTTGACTTATGTTTAAAAAATTCATTCATATTGTTTTGGTTATACAATAAAATAGAATTTGGGTTGATCCACGGAGACCCTACACACTCCCTCCCCCCATTCCCGGAAACCAGCACGAGACACACTCCTGCCAGTTTCCAAAAAGCAATCAAAAACACAAAAGTGGAATGGTGTGCAATCGAACTCAATGAAAGTAAATTTGCAGCAGGAGTAGGCAACAAACATAATAAGTTTAGAAGGATATATATGTGCACAAGCCACGAGAGAGCAATAGAAAAGGTCATGAAACTTGGCATGATTTTTCGATGAGTTTGGACGTTGCCCGAAATCGCTACAATCGTGATCTTCGCCGTTGTACCGGCAGCATGAAGCCCAGAAGCTGACAGGCGACACCCAGTTTCCTTTTCCCTACAGTCCAAAACCTCAAAGCCATGCAGTTGACAGTGCAACATTCTGGATAAGCCTACGAATTCCTTGGCGTTTATTTCTCCGATTAGCATGTCGTGGACCGGCCACTCTGCATGACGACGCCTGGGATACGCATCCATGAGGGCCTTGATGACGCCCTTAAATGAAGCCTGAATATGGACTGCACTGCTTGCGTTGCGAGAGTTGAGCATTAATGACATGGTCCTTCTTTCGCTGGAATGGTGCCAGGTTTCTCGGTATCGCAATTTGGCTTGTCGAAGTGGGCGGGGTGATTTGTGGCCAGAATTTGGCAGGTGGGTTACGAGTCATAACCCAAATTGCGGTCGCTAGAGCTATGTTCAGCACTCACCATCTCGCAGAGATATTCGGCTCGGAAAGTTTGCAGCAAATGGGCAGGGCTCCTAGATGGGAGGCGGTGTAGGTGCTTGGAGGCTGTGAGGTTTTTTTGGTCACCAGGGCATTCTGCAAGCTGTTCACGATTCATGGATGCGATGGGGTTTTAATAGTTTAGCGTCTCATACCGATTGGGTTGAAGTTAAGAATCAAGAAAGTTTGCGAATAACTAGTGAGTTCCTAAAATGAACACTGAATCATGTGATGAAGATCCAGGAATTGGGAGGGAATCAGGTTAGAGGGTGTAGTTTGAGGCCGCTCCTAAATCGTCTCGAGAATGCAGCGGGTCTGGCTTGCGAGTATCGTCGTCGAGTCGATTTCTGCTCACGGACTACAGGAGATTAGAGAGTGGTGTGGATCTGGTATCTGGTTGATAATTTGAGTTCTAGGGAAGTCAGGAGAGGTGGGGGATGCCATTCCCTGGGGGTGACGGCGGCCACGGCATGAACCCGATGACTGACTTTAAGCCTGTGAATGCCCAAGGGAAGAAGCAGCGCATGAAACGAGAGGACCACGCACATGTGAAGCATGACAGTAGTTTCTCTGACTGGAAGGTATGGTTCTGTGCGTATTCTTCACGTTGGATTCTCGTTTGAGTCGCCCTATTTATGTCACAGTCCCCGACTTTCACTTCTCGCTGGTCTTCCTCAGAGTAGGAGTCAAATTCGATCGCATGTTACACCATGAACTGCTTAAGTAATTCAGCACAAACCAATGCAAATGTCACCATTCACTAGCTCAGCGAATCATGTCAATTTCCGTGATGGTCTTTTTGAGCATTGACAAATTCATCCAGATTAATTGTAATGTTCTAGCTTCCGATAATTCGATGAAGAAGCAGGTTGTCAGCTAACACAGAGTTGGGATTGAGCATACTAATTCCAGGAATGCCAGAGATGAGCTTCCCCCGATGCTAACCCTTGAAATGGAATTTATATCTGCACTGTGAATGTAAGCACCAATGTCGGTGCCTGGAGTTTGCTGTCAACGATCGTTGCCAATTTAGTGTCGTTGTGCAGATTGCACTGCCTTCCAGTTGAGGGATAGTGGATTGTCTAAAGTGTTCACACATGACAAGTTTCTATTTATTCTTTAAAAGGTTCAACTTCGGAAGACTACAGTTTTACTTCCTTCTGCTACTCAGAAAATACGTTCTAAGAAAGAGGAGGCATTGTTGTACTTAGGTTCTCGTCGGTCCCTCTGACTGGAAGGATCATGCCTGCGGCAAGGCTCAGGACCGATTTCGAGTGAAGAACCTCCCGACCAGCTACTCTGGTTCTGGGTTGTACGAGCTGGGAGTTACGCCACCCGCATGGCTGCCTCCGCAGCGCAACAACTACCCGGGCATCCTCAAACCTCAAGACGTGGTGGTGGTGTACCTTGGGTGCGCTGAAAGCGTTAATTACCATTTGCAGCGGTACGGACAGACCGGCGCTCACCTTGAGGGTGTCAGGTTGGTTGATTCCTTCTTTTGCAGGGCCATCCTTTCGCCATGCTTCATAGGACATTTCAAAATGCACAGTAGTTATGTGGCTCACAGAAAGTGATATTTGGAAATTGGATTTTCTTCGTCGGCATAGTCTGTATTGGTTACGATTCCTTGACCTTCTGCAGGTCGACAAGATTATTCTCTGCGAAGAATGAGACGGCAAGCAAGCCAGGGTTACCGCAGCTTGAGAAGACGAGGAGTTTTGCCTCGGAGTGCAGGAACTTGAGCATCGACCTAGCTCCGGGTGCTGATGGCGATGTAAGCACAGGGAGCAATGGAAGTATTGATAATACTGATGACCTTCAAGCAACGTCGGAGAAGAAGAGAGCCAATACTTCTGATCACATTGGGAATCGATCACCAGTGCGAGGTCCCTGCCTTTTTTCGGAGGTTTTCGCCTTGGGTTGCTCCATAGCATTTCGGTGGGCTGCGGTGAGTTTACCCCAAACAACATGGCAAGACTGAGCTTCACCATTTGTAAACCTTGATCGCTTTCCCTCAATATCACAGAAATTCTGACTTTTCTATAAAAGCTGATTGTTTTAGAGTCGCGAGATGACATCGATTCATTCTGCTTGCCTGATTTTCATGAAATGTAGACAGACAGCAAAGCCGCAGCCGACAAGGCGGAGTTTGAGCTAACCGAAGTCTTCGACTACGCTTGGAAACGCGGAGGAAACTTCCGCCAACGCTCCGCAGACATTCTCGCCAAGATCGTTAAAGGAGGCGCTCTTGGATCCAACGACCTCCCCTACGGCTGCTTCGGCTATAACTCGCGCTGCATCTGCTTCTTCTTCAAGCGCAGCAGAGTTGGCGTCAAGATTGCTGCTCGAAAACTACCAGACGACAACCATCGCTTCGTCAGATCCAGACGCTCAAACCCCAGCGGAGGCAGCGATTTCTTCTCTTTCAGGTATAGTCCCCCGCTGCTCCCAGGAAAGACAGCAAAAAGCGCCGCGTTCACCAAGCTCGACATTCCAATCGATCGTTGCGGCATTCTACTAGAATCCGGCCTTCCCTGTAGTGCTCTTCCTGTCAAGGGTGGCAAACGATGCCGCATTCACAAGAAAATATCCCACAAAAAACCAGCTAGAGTAGCCCACACAAGCAGCCCTACCTACGACAGCAACGGGGCTCTACCACGTGACACAAACGTCTCCAAAAACAGCGGCAAAACTCCCACGAAACCACCTCCCGAGCATTCAACATCATGTTTCCCCTACCGCCCACAAGTTCAACCAGTACCAGGCGCCCCCGCGGAGCCAAAGCGGCGAGGCAGCTTGTCATTCAACTCGTGGCTGCGCACTTCGGAGCTTCGCATGGCAAAGAGTCGAGAATGGGCGGAGCTGAAGACTCCCTTGAGTCCCAGACCCGAAGGCACGAGACGAAGCTCCACGTCTTACAGTAGCATTCTAGCGACATGCGAAGAGTCCATGTATGAGTCCCCGTGCAGATCGCCTTCTCGGCGCGAGATATGTGGACTGAAGCTACTCGATGGCACTGTGTGCCCGGATCCTCCCCGGCCTGATCGAAAACGGTGCGAGGCGCACAAAGGTTTGCGGAACCAGATGCTGCCGCAGTCGCCAGTTTATAGCAGCACGGCCTCTTTACGGCAAGGATTTGTTTAGTCCTTATGGTGGCCCTCCAAAAGGGAAAACACATCTCTGTATCATAATTCACCGAGGTCCAACTTTTAACAGTAGCAGATTTCTGATGTACACGATTGTATTTATGAAAGTTTTACTCTTAGATAGTATCATTAACACGTTTGCGAAGTCTGATCAATCGATGACTGCAAACATATCTACACCAGCTGTGCGTTCGGTATTTTTGTTTTAGTAAAGGTGATTCGATCCAAGTATCTAGAATTAATTCGATGTAGGGATTCTCGTGGTACCATTGTGTTCTTAATGCGGACTTGACTGCAGTGGTGGGCGATTATCCAGTTGTTATGCCTTCTCCACAAATGTCTTTTCTTCTGCTTACTAGTCCTTTAAAGCATGATGCGTTCGGGCGCATGGAAACAGCTACAGTCAATTCAAAGTTTTCGTGTGGTGCTTGGAATGTGTGCTTCATTTTGATTCTCATCATGGGCAGTACTCTAGATGCTACAAAATACAATGAGAATGTAGTTGCCATTGTAATGCAAAGTCTCTTATTGCTCCTCCATTGCTGTGTCTGCATATTCTAAGCAAACTCTGGCATTTTCTACAACTTCAAAAACTGTTCAGAACCTTTTAGACACTTTTGACATCCTCCATTAATCTTTAGAATCCTTTAAGAAACTTGTAGAATTTTGTAAGATTTATGACCTTTTTGTGAAAAGTTATGAAATTTATCGTAGTTTCCTTAATAGCTTCTGTAGTATTTCATATATTTTCATAGAAATGTGTTTTAGACTATACTTGAAAAACATTATGGATTTTCTTATAATCTCTTATAAAAATTTCAAAAGGATTTGTTTTCTAAACCAGGTTTTAGGGTTCTAAACCCTAAACCCTTAAACATAGGATCTTATAACATTACAAAAATCTTAAATTAACATCTTCTTTTTTACTAATAGTATGTAAAGAATATTACACATTTAAAACTTTAGTCATGTTAAATTTATATGTCAATATAAATATACAAACAACATAAATTTAATGAGCTTAATTTTTTTTTTGTCTTATGCAATATATAAAATAATTGCATAATTATGTTCTAGACTAATATAAATAAATTCCAAGTTACTTACTTACTTGGAATTTATTTATAAAAAAATTATAATTTTAAAAATATATAATCTAGCAAAATTATAGTAGTATGATATATATATATATATATATATATATATTTAATATATCTATATTTTTAAATTGGAAGTTCTATTATTTTTAAGTATAATAGATTATAAGATTTTAGAATATTCTATTTTAAAATTAAGGATAGAAAACCATAATTATATATATATATATAATAAAAATATTTAAGCATATACTATGTATTAAAAAAAATTATGAACAAATTGCAACATATGGTTTTTAATTGACGTACATGATGCTAGCTTTTAATATATGGTAAGATGTGATTTTTTGGTTTGTGTTTTATAATATAATTTACTAATATTTATTAAAAAATATTAATACATTAATTGGTATAATAATACAGTAACAATATCCATATAGAAATTACAATCAAGAAAGCTATAATAACAACTTTATGACTATTATGATTTAATTAGTATTTATCATAGTATGCGTAATTTTTTAAGTCTGAACAAACTATGCAAAAAAATTGTAATTAAATCTTTCTTTGTTAAGAATTTATTATTTTTAGATATTTTAGCTTGATGCTTTCATATAAAAGTCGTAGATACCAAATTGGTTAAAATACTTTTGTTTAAAAGTATTTGGATTTTTTCTGCTGTCTATTATTCATCTAGATTTCAAAAAAATTGTGTCTTTTCAAAATTATTATATTCAGACATTTTGTTAATGACAAATAAATTATGTAGTAATTGATTAATATTTGTAAAAATATTAAAGATATAAAAAAATCAGAAACTCAAATTTAACAATCCTAATAAATAGTAATAATAATAATAATAATAATAATTGAAACTAGTTTTAATTTTTAATTCCCATAATTTTTAATAGCTGTAGAGTAAACTACAATAAAACAAGACTATTTAACTTTATGAAATAGTTAATAAGCTAAGACATTATGTTTAATAGGTGAGATATTTATAAATAAACAAATAAGCATTTTATTTATTTATTTATTTATTTTTGCATATTTTTCAATTGTTGAGACATATTTATAATAATAGTTGTTACCATAAATAAGTTATTAATCTAAGAATGTAGACTTGTGATAATACAAAGAATATTATAATATGAGAAAAAGAGTTATAAAATTTATTTCTTTGCGATTATTTTTTTGCCAGGTTTAATTTAGTTATTAATATATGATATTAAAATATTGATTGTATATTATTCTTATAAAAAGAAAGATGTACTATTGAAAGATTATGTTGCTAAAATCTACTACAATTACATTTCTTGTATTCTTCTACACAAATATAATTGATCTTCTTTCTAATTTTTTAAATTGAAATTTGTGTGTTTGTCATATTTTTTAGAATCAAGATGTAATCCATCCTATTTAGTATTACTATCAAAAAGAACTATATAGCCCTAATTACACGGTCTCTTCAAGATGGGCCTCTAGGAACATAGACCCTTTTAGTCTACCATAATTCACCAACAGATGGGCAGATTAGCATAAAAGAAAATATTGACAATTTCAAGTCCCTGTTATGAAATTCTAATAGATTTCATTACCGCATGTGTAAACCCTAATATTTACTTGTGTTTTTTTTAATGCAAAAATAACTTTCCAACGCACATGTGACAAAAATGGCACAAAAAACCACTCAACATTGGTAAGGTCCAGCCAATCAGTTACATTCCAGATTGATACCCATGGCAACAACTGTGCATGATACTAACCAATTTTTTCTAATAAATATGCCAGTACACCATATTTAGCAACACATTGCAGTGTCTAGATCTGGGTGTACTACTCCCACAACAGCCAGAGCACTTCTGAAGGCTTGAACTAATCTATGTATCCATGGACCCCACTTGCAATACTTTGCCATAAAAAGCAGGTTTAAAATCCACTCGGCAACTGCATGGGTTGAGTTCAATCGTTAGTCGTTCCTTGCTTTATGATCGAACTGACGACACAGAACAAGGAAAGTGTTCAGCTTAGATCTTTCCGTAACTGGCCAATGTGATGTTCGTGTCAAGCTTCGATAACAAGCTTGACCATGAGAAGAGGTGCATAGCCAATATCCTTTCCCAACTGAATAAACGCATTCATCCACTCACTGCTGAAAGTTGTTGACAGTACCAGTTGGTACAGAATGAGTTCGTGGGGTGGAAGCTCAATAAAAACACTGCTGGTTGTCAACCTAATTGTCTCAGAAATCAAATAGAAAAGGGCCATTTCTTGGAGTGTGTAAGTGAATTTCTGAGAAGCATGTGTGAGCTGCAATTATCCCATGTGGGGCCATACTCTAGCAAGTGACAAAGAGAGTAAAGCATACATTAAAGCTCTAGAGCTATTGAGGTGAAGAAGGAAATGTGAGACAAGTTATCTAAGTATTGGAAACATTTTGTATGGGATTGGGACTCATTTTGAATTGGGCAAAATCAAGTGGCTAGTGGAAAAGTGAATGTTCACTTCTAAGACCACTATGGACAAATGGACTAGGCATCACAATGCTAATGGAAATGAAGTGAGCAAACTATTAGGAGCACCATTTGGTCTATATTTGACATCAAGTGACTTCTATTCATGCTTACATGAAAAAATCAACAAGAAACTAAGCCATTGGTGCTCAATAATAATCAATGCAATCGGTAGAGGAATAATTGTCAATAATGTTCTTTAATCTACCATGTTTTTATTTTATCTCACTTTGAGGAGGAATAAAAAAACACCTATCACAAATTAAAGTATCTCTTAGTAATTATCTTGTAGAGTGGATGTTACATTAGGCTGACACTAAGGTGGCATTGCTATAATATTTCCAACCATTTTATAAAGAAGGAATTAGCTTTATTAATCCAATAGATATAGTGGTAGCATTATTAAGTACATAGATTGTGAAAACTATAGAATTGTCGAATTCCAACTTACATATGATGCTCAAATATCATCTTAGTAAATTCCAATCATATTCCAAAGAAAAATGTCAACCAAACTTGGAATTTTTCACTCTTAAGAAGCATCAAAGTACACAAGGATTAAAAATGTAGAATAGAATTGAATAGGCATGGAGGGACCTCCTTTCAGAAGCGACTTACATCTCTCCTACATGCTGTAAAGAATGAGTGAATTATAGGATTTGATATTACTAAGAAATCATTAATATTGGACCTTATATTTCAAAAAAATAAGCAATAGAATTACATAACCATGGTCTTAAAACATTTAGGAACATATGAAAAAATAATATATATTTTTTTCCATGGAGGTTAAAGCTTGATTTGAGCTTGAGCAAGAAAAAGAAGGTGCATAGACAACCATTATTAATCAAATATCCCAGCAAATAGTGCAGTTCATTTCTAATCTAACACAAGCATCAATAGAGGGTGAATGAGTGGGTGTCTTTACAAATAATGCCTCATGGGCCCTCTTAGTGGTTTGACAAATCAACAATACATATCAAATAGACCTTTGGGCAACAAAATTTTGAATCCCTTCACAAATAAGCATTCACAAGCTAGGAAAAAAAACTCTTATACTATATGAACTTCATCATGAGTAGAATGAAGACTTATATCATAAGTCTGTAGGCAAAAGAAAAAGATATATAAATATTATAGGTAATGTGTTGTAAGTAAGAATTATTCTAATAATAAGAGGGCAAATAATAAAATAATCTACTTATGTTATAAAAAGATCAATTTATTGATATGAGATCCTAGCTAGTATTGTCATATATATATATATATATATATATATATATATATATATAGGTACTCTTGTAAATATCTATATGATTACGTAGAGATAGATAAAAGTAGATAAAAGTAGGTTAATTTCATAATACCTTCTAAAAGAGCTTGTTAGAAGCTTCACAAACACTACTTTGATTTTATATGTATTTGTAGTTAATTGATAGGTTAGAAACTTGGTCAACAAGTCAAGCACATATTGGTAGCTTGCGGAATAAGCTAACTATGTGGTACACATATAGAAAACTTGCCTTGCAAGATAAGATATGTATCTTGCAAAGTTAACACAATTTGGAGGTCTTATAAGATATCACGACATAGCTCCTAGTAAAGAGTATATATGGAAGCAAGAGTGAAGCCTTCTTCATTCTTATCAATGCTTTTTTAGTCCTTAGTCTTGTTTCAAAACTTTCTAATCTTCTTGTTTTTGGCAATAGCCATTACAATTCAATAATATATCATTGAGTGATTTTCTAGTTCTTTTTAGTATCACAAGAGTATATTGAAGATTTCTTTCTACAAGAT